ATATATATACATATATTTATATATACATACATATTCAAACCTTGTTAACGCGTACCTGTGAGCTGGTTAACTCAGACATCTCCAACTGGCGTTTCACCAGTGAGACCTCCAATCCGATAGGTATCGGAGGAACAGACGTGATAGTCACCGTTTCCCCTGCGACAGTAGTAATAGCGTGGATGAGGTCATGCTAGTCCCAGCAATAAAAACCAACTTAAACATACTTAAGCGTACGAAATGGTACAGATGAGAGGCCGTATTCCTAGATAACATGGGCCTATACAACACGTTGACATGTTAGTTGGTACATACTAAACACTGGGCAGCTCAAGCTGAAAACGCGGAGGCTTACGTACAACCGACTTACCATTCTGCGGAAAGTAGCAGGGCACACCAAATTGGGCCACAATCTTGTCCTTCAGAAAAGCCATTTTCTTCTTCTCTCCTGATTTCGATTTATTTGGGACGGGCAGTGAGAATACAAATCGGGAAATGTTCGGGACTGGTGGTGTGTGTGTGATCCAATTGGTGTTGAGTGGCCATGTGGGAATCAGCTGACACTGAAAAGTGCCACCACAACATTTGGCATAGACATATGACACCATAACATCTTGCGTAGACATATGACACCATAACATCTGGCCTAGACATATGACACCATGACCATCTGGCATAGACATACGACAAAATAACATCTGGCATAGACATGATACAATAACATCTGGCATAGACATATGACACCATAACATCTATTATACAACACCAGGGACTATCCAGACACTCTAGAGCTGCATCCCTTGCAAAGGCGTACCAGATATAGTTGGCATCTACCCTAAAACCGTTTATTTACAGAGAAACTAGCCATAAGGTGAGGCCCCAATTCAATATGTATGTTCAAGAAGATCACATTTTATAATACAGTAATGGTATATGGACATTAAGGCTCACATTACATTTGACAACAATTGTATAAGCATGTGCAAAAATCACAATTCAAAATTCAGTAATGGTATGGGGACATACACGGCTCACATTTCATCTATATATATATAAATAAACAAAACATACCGTGGACCAGCATGACATTCTTGGGCTGCGCCTGTTGCAGCAGTTGCATGATGCCCTTTGCGTCTGCATGCGCACTGAAGGACAGGTGCTGCACTGACAGCTTGATTGGAATAATCCGACCTGTGCCAATGCAATGTACTTGTGAGTAGTTTGTCCATCAACAATTTGGCCTATAAAAGGCCCGAGCAGAGGATTTAATGTGAGCTTCCCAATGAGATGTTTTGAAAGGGTTTAGGGTTTTAGGGTTTAGGGTTAAAAACCTAAGGGTACTTAAATTGTCTCGTCTATTCGACAATAGGTGCCAGTGGAAGACTAACACAGCCCATCGGCTGTAGAGGGACTGTGCGGATGTAACCAACAGATGTATACCATAAGACTACACTCCACAATGCAATGGATAGCACATTGGGGTATCGCAGGCAGTGGATAGACATGACTATACACAAAGCACGACACACGGGTACATACACACACAGGCACGCATAGGTCATCTAAGACTATTATCTTGCAACTTTGTAAACCATAATACACAGACACGCATAGGTCATCTAAGACTATTATCCTATGACTTTGTAACCTATAACACACAGACACGCATAGGTCATCTAGGACTATTATCTTGCAACTTTGTAACCCATAATACACAGACACGCATAGGTCATCTAAGTTATCATCTTGTGACTTTTGTAACCCATAATACACAGGCAAGCAGGGGTCATCTGGTCATCTACTACTAGCACCGTGTGACTTTGTAACCTATAATACACAGACGCGCATAGGTTATCTAAGACTAGCACCGTGCGACTTTGTAACCCATAATACACAGACACACATAGGTCCTCTAAGACTAGCACTGTGTGACTTTATAACCCATAATACACAGACACGCATAGGTCATCTGCGACTTTGTAACCCATAATACACAGACACACATAGGTCATCTAAGACTAGCACTGTGTGACTTTATAACCCATAATACACAGACACGCATAGGTCATCTAAGGCTAGTACCGTGTGACTTTATAACCCATGATACACAGACAGGCATAGGTCATCTAAGATTAGTACCGTGTGACTTTATAACCCATGATACACAGACACGCATAGGTCATCTAAGACTAGTACCGTGTGACTATATAAACCATGATACACCAGACACGCATAGGTCATCTAAGACTAGTACCGTGTGACTTTATAACCCATGATACGCAGGTGCGTTATTGACATAGTACCTTATATGGGCAAACCATGCACACCCCATCTTTTAATAAACCCAAGAAACTCATCGGTAAGGTATCAATATACACAGACAGAATATACATGCCAGCACACGCATTCACAAGAATAGTGGACACGCACACACCTCCAAATTCACTAAACACATACAAACACACATACAAACACACGCATTCACAAGAATAGTGAACACACACACACATAAAAATACACTAGACACATACAAATACACATACAAACACACGCATTTACAAGAATAGTGGACGCATACAAATACACATATAAGACATACATACAAACACACGCATTCAAAAGAATTGTGAACACATACAAATACACATACAAAACATACATGCAAACATGCACATCTCCAAATACACTGAATACATACAAATACACATACAAAACATACATGCGACCACACACACCTTCCACAGTGATCTCCTTACAGTAACCCTACACACACACACCTTCCACAGTGATATCATTAACACTATATACACACGCCTTCAACAGTGATCTCATTAACACTACACACACACACCTTCCACAGT